AGGGGGGCTATATTATGTCGATGACTTTAGTCCTGGCATGGCTAACAGTGTGACGCATCCCTTTGATAGCAAATAAAAGCAAATCTGGTTGTGGCACCGTCGATTGGGACATCCGTCTTTTAGTTATATGAAGCATCTTATACCAGATTTATTCTCAGGTTTCAAGGACTCCGACTTCACATGTGATACTTGTATTTTGGCCAAGAGTCATCGTGTGCCATATCCGTTGAGTACAAACAAGTGTACTACTCCATTTACGTTAATTCACTCTGATGTTTGGGGACCTTCACCTATCACTGCTCTTTCTGGTGTTCGATAGTTTGTCACGTTAACATGGAATTATCCATGAGACGACTTGTCCTCAGACACCGCAACAAAATGGTGTTGCTGAACGAAAGAATCGACATCTTCTTGAAACCGCTCGAGCACTTCTGATTGGCGCTCATGTTCCTCGCCATCACTGGGACGATGCTATTATCACTGCAGTTCACCTAATCAACCGCATGCCTTCTGGTGTATTGACCTTTAAAACTCCCTTACAGGTGCTTGTGCAACACAGACCTCTGCCCTCTGTTTTGGTACTCACACCCCGAATCTTTGGATGTGTCGCTTTCGTTCATCTCCACAAAAATCAACGTAGCAAACTTGATTCCTGTGCGCTTCGTTGTGTTTTTGTGGGTTATGTCACTCATCAAAAAGGCTACTGTTGTTATCACCCTCATACCCGACGTACCTATGTCACTTTGGATGTGACCTTTCTGAAATCTGAATTGTTCTTCCATGACCCATCATCCAATTCTACGCTTCAGGGGGAGATACGAATTGAAGAACAGAATTGGAGCAACTTGGAAAACGAAGAAATTCTCATATGTACAGAAATGATTGATCATATTGAGTCTGGAGCACAAGATTACTCTATGCCAAAAAAGACCAATCTCCTATTCATAGCGATCAATTACCTGACCCACCTGATCCATACGAAGATATTTCTGATCCGAGTCTCACACCTACAGACAATACAGAACAACAAGATGAAGACCCCCTCTCTAACTCAACAGTACCAACAGACCAATCTCCTGAGAATATCCTTGAGGTAACTACTCCTACTAGACTTGTGCCTTTAGAGGATAAAACTATTGAATATCAATTACCTTTCAGGCGAACCACTCAAGGCTTTTGTGCATCAGTTGTCTGCTATCCATATTCCAACCAAGGTCTCTGAAGCATTGAAAGATCCTAAGTGGGTCCAAGCTATAAAAGATGAGATGAAAGCTCTTGAGAAAAATCATACTTGGACATTGGAGACTATACCACGAGAAAAAAAGACTATAGGATA